GATTGAACTTTCAATGAAGCGTGTGCATATTTTCCTATGACCCAGTGGAACACAGTCTAAAGTTTCGTTCGGAGTAGGTGGCAACTCAAGTTTATGAGATAGAGCGTTCGAAAGGTGGTCACGCCACAACGGAGATTAAATAGTGCGAGCTAACTGTCTGGTGCTTTTGGAGGGCGATTACCCGACTGGTTCTGGTTGTGAACACGATCAGTAAAATTTGCTAATGTCCTAAACCACCAATTTCTTTAAGATAAGTGGATACCACTCAAGCTGGAAATCGACTTGCAAAAAATCCTCAAATTGTAAGCAGACACACTTACAATGCTTGTTTTTGAGCGTTCCGATCCACCGTTGTAACATCGATTCGGAGAACTCCATTGGTTTGCCGTAAAAATCTACGGAGAGGCTCCGGTGCGTAGTCGGGTCGGGGGTAAGTGATGAACAGCCTTGAGCCCGGGAAGATGTCCACCTCGGGTATGTATACTTCGCCAACGCGCGGGCCCCACGCACATCGATGTATTGACCGACGTAGAAAAGGTAACGCTTTGGTTCTGATGCGGGGAAAATTCGATACGTGTTTAAGATGACACAAGTGGAAGCATTGGTTATGTCATACAGGTATAGCGCAACAACGTTTGAATAGGAGGACAGAACTGTTTTTTCCCATTAGCTGCCATTAAATGAGGCTTGCGAAGACGGAACCTATTTATCAGTAAGTAGAGGTATATTGCTCTGCACTAAAGTAGGCATTCAAAAAGCACAACAACTACCGCACTTAAGGGGTGTTGGTATGCAAAAGTGTTACGTGCTAATGTAACGTCAGTAATTTGGCTTGTTCTGAATGCGATGTAGTTTGTAAAAAGCTGTCCTTCGGGGACGAAACTTTATTGTCTGGACTTAAAAAAACTCAGTTCTTTGCGCCCCCTTTCATCCAGACTATTTGATTTTTGAAGGAGGACAGCGTCAGGTACATCGATGGACAAAAAGCTGAGTACATCGAAGTGCTTCGTTCTTTCTGGCTAAACGGCGCGATAAAGTAGTGAGATATAGCAGTGTGGGTGAAACAGAGGTCATCACTTGTTCGTTTCACTTTCCAGTGTGGAGACAACCTTCCTAGTCTTCCCCTTCGTGATCACAGATTCCACAAAACGCAATGTGTGTGGACCATAGTGTGTTAGCTGCTGTCCGATTCCCAGTATAACACAAACAAGGAACACCAGAATTACTTCTACTTCGGCCGCTAATCAACTAAGCGAGTCCATATGCAGCAATCCGAACACACAACGAATAATCCAGCCGAAGGATTGCCGTGCATCGAATTCAGTGCACATCCGAATTTACTTAGAGCCTCCCCACATAACGGGTTTCCATGGCGGTGAAGCTTCACCTCATAGAATCAATGTGTGGCTTCGTTCATAGGCAGCGCAGTACTCCATACCCTGATGGAGAGTTCGGGTATTTATAACCACGAGTCGTTCGGATTGGTTGCTCATGAATTCCCCGATGGACGTGATTCGTTACAAGTGATTGCATATCTGTCGCTGCAGCGTAGGATGGCTAGTAGTAACCTCGTTGGTACAAATGCCCCACAATCAGTGGGGCCGATTAAGTTTCTTTTCAAAGTGCTTATCCCAACACTCCAAACCTTTTGACAAGCTGTTGGTCGGTTGTCCGCTCTTGTCACATATAGTTTCCCTAACTCCAGGTTTCCTGCTGTGCGTTTATCGTACCGGACTGAATAACCTAAGTTGGTTAGTAATGGCAGCGGCTGTTTCCATCTCCGACGCATGACGAGACAACAAAGCTTCGCTGTCTCTCTTCAGGCTAGCACGCAGTTTTGCTCTGGGGTCTTTGCGAGTCTCAATGTGTTCGCTCTCAGCTGGGATGTATTGGCAGGCATGCAAAAGTCCCAGAGACTACATAAAGGCCCAATGTTCAGGTTTGCAGTTTCATTTGCTACATGAATACATGCCTGCTGATCGTAACATCTGGTGAATAGGCGATCAGTGGCCTTCCATTGTATGCAGTAACCGTTTACTCAGCTCGGATGCAAGTGTACTTTGATACGCATTCAGAATACATGGCTTCGTCATTTGTCAAGTACCTATGCGCTCACAACGTCACCGCATGCGATCACCCAAAGGAGCTCTGAAATTGGCACATCCGAATGCGTAGTCAGAGTTCGTGCTTGTGCTCTACATCGGCTGGCAGATTTAGACACAGCATCATTAGCGGCAACTGGTCATGTGACCGATTTTCATCTATGACTGGTCCGAGGCTCGTGGGCGCCATGTCACCCTCCAGCGGGTGGTGTGTGTTCACGAGAAACAGACGAGTATCTTCACACAGATGTAACAACCGCTTACCATTATCATTACGGCACCATGTTGACCGGCCACATGATGTTCATCAGTGGACAGTTTTCCACCAATTTCAACCCACCCAGCGCAAAATGAACAGTGCTTGCGGTGCTCGACTATTTGAGGCCCACGCGACAAGTAGGGTAATAAGTGTGACTAAAAAACAAATTGGTGATAGTTTTACCTTAAGAGTTTATCAGAGAAGAAAGGCCGACTCAGGTTAGAGAAGGAAACCATAACATTGAGGGTCTCTTCGGGGTGTCTGGACAGAGTGAAGTCAAGGACATAGAAGAGCCGCGACGACAGAAGCTGTGGTGACTGTAGTCTGCTCCGGGTAACCTGCCGATCAATCGTCGCCTACATTTTCGCCAGAATTTCGCGTTCACATGCGAAGGATGTTCTTTAAGCGACTGAACAAACACAACCGTCAAGCCAGCAGTTTGAATAGCGAGGTATTGCAGTTGAGTACATGAAAACTGATGTTGTGCCAGGAGCGACATACACAGAACAGATACGTGCAGACTATAAGAGTTCGACTCAATTTACTAACTGGACCAACAGTAGAAGTAACAGTCTATCGAGATTAAGTCTAAGGAGCGCTTGAATGAGGTTAAAATATTGTTGGTTGCTGTTGACATACCTTTTTCCATGACAATGATCTTCATAGAGTGACCATGTTGCATCATGCGGAAATCCAATTCCAGTGAAGTTACGCAACCTCCAAGAAGACACGGAATTTAACCATTCGGTCGTCTCGTTCCGCTGTGCAGCTGTAACCGAATCTGGATCATTAGGCTCGAACACACTCAGATGGGCTGTAAACCAGATTTGAAGCTTGCGACCCGTGTGTGGTTGAACTCCGAAGTTAGATCGTCGAATATTTTGCATGTGTTGGCTGTGGTTAGTGGAACGAAAGGGACGTGTATGAGTCGTGGTTAAAAATGTTGATTTAGAAAGTGCTGCTGAAAAGAGCCCTAGTGGTAACATGCGGTTAACAAGGAACTAAAGCGCGTTCTGGCTGAGGTCAGTTTCTCTATGTTAGGCGTCTGAGGATCTTGGAGTGATCATGAAGAGTCAAATGTAAGGGTCAAGGTATCAGCAGTACACCAGTACGCAGTACCGACGCTTCTCTGCCGCGCAACTACCAACAGTCGAGCGTGGGCTACGGATACTGCGAGGATCGCCAGGCCTCCAATGCAGGCTCGAACCTGCACCCTCGGATTACAAGGCAGGTTTGCGGTCCTTTAGGATACGGGCCAATAGTACGAAGGATACTATCATAAAAGCAAATCGGGTAGTATTGACTTGGGTATATCCGTCTAAAAGTTGTCTATAAAATATTGCGACTTGCTTATTAGCGATCATATTCGGAGGGAGAACAAGGCGGTTGGTCATGTGGCTGGGGGGCAAGGATGAAGAAGGGAAAATTGTAACACCATTCCTATTTAACAGCTGCTAAAAATATCGCCTACTCTAAAAATACAAATAGACAAATCATCTTGTGAATGATTCATCTGCATTCCCAGAGGTATGCGAAATGTGATATCAACAGAGTGGGGTACGTTTCGCGTACAAATGTCTAAGTACGGCCATACTCGTAAAAACGATGTGTAAACGCACCTTAATCCATCAGGATAATGTTAGGTGATCGTAACGGCTTAATGCTGAGAAACAACTTTACCACGCGAAGTGGGTCGGCCGTAGCGAACGCGGGTGGTTGACGAAATCAGTTCGTCATCGACAGCACGGGTTGCCATGTGATCGATAGGAACTGATAAAGTCCCTTCGTCAGCACTGGCGTGAATAAAACTTGGACTGGCCGGACTTGCAGGCAGCCAAATACAGACCGCGAGTATCTGTGGACGCAGGTAAACAGGTGATCGCCATTCAGGAGGGCGACGTACAGTCGGGTTGAAAAGCAGACGAGGATGTGTGCAACCTACAAATATAACCATTTCTCAATACCCAATATACTCCGGTCTTGTCCTCTGTTTTCCTCAGGTTAAGTTGGATGGAGCATCAGGCAGAGAGCAGAGACAGTCCAGCGTTACAACAGAAGAACTAGAGTAGACAGTATTCATGAATCGTGAGGAATTTCACATTTCTGATCGTGTCTAATGAGAATATATTTATCTCGTGCGGTGAAAGCATCTAATTTGGTGGGCATGGCTACAAAAAAGAGGGAATTGATAGCGCAGTGATGTCCTGGAACGAATCAAACAAAATGAGTTGCTATATTTGGCTTACAATTGAATACATTTCACAAAGATGAGGAAATGTAGTTTCCCAAGTTCTTCCGAGAACCTTAAGCTACAACGGCAATACAACCTTCCGAAAAAAAATAGAGGATTGCGACTCGTACCAATATCGTTGAATGACGCACGGTCAGAACGGCGCCCATCGTCAAGAGAATGTGGGGTTCAACTAGATAGTATACTACAAGACTTCACGCGATGCTTTACGGTATCAAATACAACGGGCTCATTGCGTTAGGTGTTGATTCGTGCATTAAGGGTACTAAGCTTTTAACAATAAATCCAGTAAAACACCGCAAACTCACACTGCCAAATCAGGTTGTTGTTGAGGTGACACAGGCACCATCTGTCTATGTGTGGACGTCTCCGTTTTGTCTTTAAAACCTTTAATCTACGATGAAGAAAGTGCGGGCATCTATCCGAGGAGAAATACCTCTATTTGTGACTTCGGTTTCAGCACATCTGCCAATTGTGAGTAACCCTGGTCAGTCCGGTTTCCAGTGGCAGGATATGCAAAAGAATCTAAAGGTTTGAGGCTTCAATGCGTCGCACAATTACCTTCACTGTTTGTGGGACGCAATTGCTGGCTCGTACACGAGTATTTCTGGTCAGCATTATTAATACTATCCTAAAAATGAATGTTGCACCAAGTAGGGAAAAATGATGAAATCTTACTGGGGGTACCTGGGCCGTCCAGTTGTCAAAGTTTCCTGTTGGCTTCACACGACAAGTAGCAGGGCGTGGCGATTGCAGACAAGACTCCGTGCCCCAACTAATCGTCGACGCAGAAGAGCGAGTTGATCTCGTGCTACCACACGACTGAGCCACCGTATAGACGGGTCCATTCAGACTCGTGGGAGATTCAACCAGGTTCAGTCTTGGGATTCTAAGGGCGCATGCGTGTGAAAATAATCAACAGTTCCATACAATTCCATTTTTTCGTGCAACGAAGATCTACTAGTGGGTCTGAAATATCCTGGATGCTTTATCCCACTTCTAATGCAAAGTAACGGGATAGAAGAAAACGCAGTTTCCTGCTTAGCACCAAGGCAGATGATGTTCGAAGGACTTGTTCAGGGCTTGGATGGCGTTCTGCCTGTATGATGAGAACAATAGAAGAAATACTGTTGCATTAAATCAGAGCGGTTATTGAATAAACTGTGATCAGGCGATAATCGCATCATTGGCCTAGAGATTCGCTCACTTACGGAAATATAAGTAAAAAAATCTACGCATTAGTAGAATTCACTCTCAAGCATGGGTTTTTGCATCGCTATGTGGGCCACATGGACTAAGCGATGAGACACAAACGAATACTTGCAAGTGTACCATGGTGTAATAAGGAGACAAGTAGTTTGTTATAGGGGGTTAAGTAAGGTGTGTCTGTGAAACACCTTCAGTGATGGTGTCCAAGAATTTATAACGTAGTTCCCAAGTGGATGTCATCGACAACGCCACTGTCAGAGTTACTTCAAAACTTACAACAAGAAGCTCTAATTTCGGTAAGTCTAGTGATTTGGGATCTGTTGAACATGTCACGAGTTGCGTAACCTTCAGAGAGTCAAGACGCTTTGGCAATGGCCAAAATCTGGGTAGGATTCCTCAAGACGTGATACGGCATTAGCATATTGCCAAGCAAAAGCCGATACTGCCTATCGTTAAACTAGTTTTGGGTCCACGCTACTCATAGAGATAGAGAGATAGAGATACTCATAGAGATAGAACCCTCTTAGCCTCCCTACGTGTTGGAACAGCGAGTAAGGAAGAAGAACGCTTTTTTTTCGCCATTGCCAGGCGTGAATGGGGAATTTTGGATGAAGCCCAAGGTAAGCACTTTCCACAGTAAGTTTATGTTGTGGTTTTTTGAAGTTTTCTCGGCCTAAGATGAATAGCCAAGATTGTCCTGTACCGTGCCATGCAACGCTGCGTCGGGTGCGATGTCGGAATCCGAAGCTGGAGATAACTAGACGGGTTGCTTCACATAAGTCCAACAACCGTCCCATTGTCATTACGGGAGCCTACAGCGTGTTGGATGCTTAAACGGAGCTAATCATCGTACAGTTTGTCAGCTTGGGCGGTGAAATCACCAACCAGCACGGGAGTATGTGTAACGCAGAAGCGCGCTTAGTTGATATTGAAATTTATCTTTAATGGGATCAGCGCTAGAGTTCACAGGGCCGTAGACAACATTGGCGAACAGGCACCTACTGTCATTATGCGACTTCGTAGCTTCGAAAGAGCTATCCAGTCTAACGGTTCACATCTGCATACTGATTGGAATGCAGAGTAGCTGCAACAAGGGAGTTCAGAGCAACACCCACACCAGTTTGATCCGTATTTGCTCGATGAGGTCGTTAAATTCCGTGCCCACTGACCGATTTGCAACAAAGTGCTCACATTGAGGCATTCAAATCTTAGTGAGGACCGAGGATATCAAACAGATGCACATAAGATGAGATGGTCTACCTGGTTGTACATGGAGTTGCGACGGGGCTGGTGAGACGTTCTGCGATTGCATATGAGTCGAAAATAGAAGAGAAACACTCGTCACAGCAAGATAGGGGGAGGGCCAAGTGGAGTTTAAAAACAGAGGGATACAAGTGGAACGAGACGGTGGAGATGAAAAGGCGCAGGAGAAAGAATGAGAAGATGGGAGGGCCCAAGCAATTGCAATCACAATCCTACCTAGGCCGGTTGATGCAGAAGATAGGGCATGACTGATTTGTCCCGATGATAGCCAGAACATCAAGAAATGTAGTAAAGAAGTTTTCACTGTATTGCGCAGACAAAATGACATCAGAATGCTTAGGCGCCGGCGGAAAAATGATCAGGTTCCTTAATCAAGCCTTTAGTTTCAAAAATCCTGTCGAATCTAGCATATTAGCATCATCGATCTCTCCAGTGCCCGATGTTGGACACACATAGGATGGTCATAAAACATTTTATGTACAGATGCATATGAATATGTATAAAATTAAAAAGCGGGAAGCGTGGCTATAGAAGAAGATAGAACGGTTTGTGCAACAATATTCTGGTCCATAAATTATTTTCTCTGTGATGTGTAATATTTTTGCTACGTATTGTGTATATCACCAGATGTGCGGAATTGCAAGAACATGTAGTCAGTGGTAATTGGATGGTATTTAAAGCGGCTAGATTATGCTTATATGGGGCAAAATATGTGGAAAAATGGGCGATCGAAGGGAGGCGGCCGCTCAATTTTTCTCGATGAGTGCCAAATGTGTGACATTGTTTGCTGCTCGGGCGCTCATCCGTCAGTTAACGGGTGCCCATCGAACACTCAACGTGCGCTCGTCGGACACTGGTGCCAATATGGTAGTTATTCGGAAGTGAAATGAGGCGCCAACCCTAATCCAATCACCGACTTAGTGATTGAGGTTACTGAGAGTTTCTGGCCTCTAAATATTGACTTAGTTGTTTTCGTTGACTTTGAAGGTGCAAAAGCGTTCAGTCCAGTTTGGACGACACATACATGTTGCCTATGGAAGTTCAAGATCAACACAATACGCGGTGGCTTGTCTAGTGCATTCCGTGTTGTCATCGTTAGACAGTAAGAACAAATCCACAATTATCTGCTTCATCGAGTACAATAACGCTATCGGCTGTGTTAATTATAAATGTCTGTCGAAAGATCTACACGCTTATGGTATTCAAGCCCCCTTAGTTTTCGTGATGAAAGATTAGTTCGTTAAACGTATTCAGGTCAACAGAATTGAAGGTAAAAGCTCCTTGTCACCTACCACAAATGGCGATGTGCTTCAAGAGGCTATTTTGTCAACATTCTTGTTCTCTACTTACGTTAGCTCTATCCCTGTCCTAGAATAAGTCATGTTGCTAAAATATGCAGATGACGTTATCATCGGCCTGAATCATCCGACCTAGATTTCCTCAAACAAGTTGCAAAGTTGTTTGGACGAAATAGTGTTATAGTCGAAATCTCTCTGCTTGATGCTGAACTCATCCAAGTGTAATGACATTTTGTTTTCACTGAATAAGGCAGTTCGTTACCAGGAACATGTCACGGAATATCCTAAACTTCAGATTGAAGGCGGCGGTTTGAGCTTCTGTAAGTCAGTCAAAGCTACAGTGTGTCACGATTTGTCGTGGTTACTCGAGGTGAATAAAATATGCACCAAAGGCAGGTGACTTTCGCTTTAAATCGTCCGATGGCGACTATCCTGCGTATCATACAATTTGATTATAATGCTCATCACTGCGTGCATTCGACCACGCTGGACTTATTGCTTTTCTGTGGATTTTTTAGACCCACTGTGTGAAAATTTTAAGTTGCCTGACAGATCACTTAAGCCCTCGTGTGGCTGCAGTGGCATCCAAAAGTGAAGTTTGACTCAAACAATTGTATCTACGTAAGTAGACGCATGCATTAAACTTGCTTCCAAAATACTCAGTGACATTAGCCACTCTCTTCACAATGTACTCTCAAATCTTATATATGCCTCACCGATCAGACAAAATTACAGCGAAATATGCGTCCGCACTTGGTCCGAAGAGATTGCTACTCGCCTCTTCGTCTCGATAATACGACCAATGCTAGAGTACGGCTCTCCCGCGTATTGTCCCATCACCCTGGGCGAGGTAGAAAAGCTTGAACGGGTGCAGCATGTAGACACCCGGCTGATTCCCAACTTACGAGGTATGCCATACGAAGACCGATGTAAGAAACTAGGGCTGTACACCCTAGCTTATCGTCGACTGAGGGTTGACCTCATCATGACGCACCGGATATTACATCTGAGTGATTACCCCATGTTGAGACAACTGTTTCATCTGCGCACACCAAGCTGCGCGCGAGGACACCGGTATAAACTTATCGTACCGAAGTTGATGCGGGTGGCTCACCAACTCTGTTTCGAACGCAGAGTGGTGAATGTCTGGAACAACCTGCCGCAGCACATAGTAGAGGCGAACTCAGTGTCGGAATTTAAGAAGCTCCTAGACAAACACTTTTCAGAGGCAAATATAGAGAGCGGAACGATAAATAAGTAGTATCAGTCCAAGAGCGACGAACGATGCAGCTACACGGAGAAAGCTCTACTCGCTGCTTCGAACCAGTATTCAGTATAGCCCGTCGGTCGCTCCATAATTTTATATATTTCTATTTGACCAAAACGCTATTATTTAAGGATTGATTGGTAAACGTTGCCAGTGAGGCAATGTTTTCACTGTAGTTTTAGTTTTTCTGTTGTTTTGTCGCTGTTGAATCACTTTTGAGCACGTCGATATCATGTTTGTTGTACCCCGCGATACTAATCCGTAGAAGTGACACGTAAAAACATGCTAAATACGGGATGGTAGAAAAGATAGGGACAGCGAGACCCAAACTACATAATACAAAGAAAAGAAAGGAACGTGCAAACGAGACTCAAAAGAGCGGAATATGCAGACGGATGTACAGTCATTAAAACAAATGGACCTTATGAAGGTTCAAACAACAATAAAATCCAATGTTATGGAATATTGTAAAAATATATTGTCAGGTGTAACACAACAGCCTCTATCTGGAAGGCCGATAAATAGAAGCCTTTGACCGAGCTGTCAGTGAGGGAGACAGGTGAAGGTGCTTGCAGAGAGTGAGAGACGGGCTTGAACACGGGATTCCAAATAGGGATGTGTAGTAAAGTTCGCTGGGTCCAGGCTGCTTTGTCAGTTATTATTTGCGTGTGGACTGGGGTGCATCATCGGTGAGCCGTCGCGACGGGCTCGTCGAACACCAAAAAACTGATTAATTCAGAAGATAGACTGACAGAACATTTCCTCCACTGCATACCCGACGCAGCGCTTGGAAGGTGTCATTTACCCTACCACACTTTAGTCCACAGCCCAAATGGTCCTCGTCTCACGACGAACTCCAAGCGTCATCGTCGGCACCACGTAGCCAGGCGTTTAGCGACCAATCCGGTTGTAACCGTCCGCGGTCATGAGCGACTGACTGTCGCTTGGGTAATGGAAGGGTC